ACTGTAGATGATGGTGATATCTTTCCTTGTTGGACTGTGTAGATGACAGGGACTGTAGATGATGGTGATATCTTTCCTTGTTGGACTGTGTAGATGACGGGGACTGTAGATGATGGTGATATCTTTCCTTGTTGGACTGTGTAGATGACGGGGACTGTAGATGACGCTGATGTCTTTCCTTGTTGGACTGTGTAGATGACAATGATAAGTAGAAGACGATGATAAAGAGATGACGATGATTGTGAGTAGATGACGGATGACGATGACTGCGTAGATGTAGGTGATGGTGACTGAGTAGATGACGATGTCTGAATTAGATGACAATGTCTGATTAGATGAAGATAACTGAGTAGTTAATGATATCTATGAAGATAACAGTGTCTGAGTAGATAACGGTAATAAAATAATATCTTTGTGTCTTGTGTTGTGATTTTTTTCTGAATTGATTTTTACATCACTGGTCCACACGGTCAGTACAACTTGATACAAATGTCGTTCAAACTGGTTGAAGGGTGAGAGCAGGCCTACTCATATATAAATCTGTGAAAGTAAGTGTCTGGGTGGTGAATGGAAACAATCATGCAATAGAAATGTGTGGTGTATATTGGATTGGTAATAAATGGAACTGTCTATTACAATCATGGAATAGAAATGTTTGGTGTCTTTTATATTGTCTTGGTAATGATTGGAAATGTCTATTTAGATCACATGATAGCAATATTTGGTGTATACATTGTCTGGGTAATGAATGGAAATGTCTGTTAAAATCATGTGATTGAAATGTTTGATGTGTATCTTATTGGGAATGAATGGAAATGTCTTTTACAATCGTGTAATAGAAGTGTTTAGTGTCTATATTATGTGGGTATTGAATGAAAATGTCTATTACGATCATGTAATTGAAGTGTTTAGTGTCTATATTATGTGGGTATTGAATGAAAATGTCTATTACGATCATGTAATTGAAGTGTTCGGTGACTATATTATTTGGGTAATGAATGGAAATGTCTGAATGTCTGTTACGATCATTTGATACAAGTTTTTGGTGTCAAGGTATCTCCCTGACCCCTGCCCGTAAACATTCCTTTTTTTAATTTTTTAGTTTTAGGATTCTGGGAAATTCCAATTTTTGTCATATATATGTATATGAATGTTGACAGTTTTATGTCAGGAATGAGAGTGCCATAGTAAATGTCTGTGCTCACATGTCTACGTGGTTATTGTCTGTCGTAAAGAAATGATTCCCCCTGTCCTTCATAAGCTTTTAACGTTATTTTTTATTATAGTTGTTCTGTGCCTATGTCTGGATGAAAATAGTCTGTGTGTGTGTGTGTGCGTGCGTGCGTGCGTGTGTGTGTGTGTGTGTGTGTGTACGTGTGTGTGTGTGTGTGTGTGTGTGTATGTGCATAAATATATATTGCATGAGAAGAAAGGAAGTAGTAAGAAAGGTTTTGAAAATGGGTATTCCAAAGTAAAGCGCATTGAGCTACTTTTTCGGAAATGCGCTATATAAATGTTATATTTTATATTATTATTATTTTGTCCCCATGGTGTGTGCCGGCCGTATACGTGGTTATTGTCTGTCGTAAGGAAATGATTTCCCCTTGTCCCAGTGGTGTGTGCCGGCCGTATACGTGGTTATTGTCTGTCGTAAAGAAATGATTCCACCTTGTCCCAGTGGTGTGTGCCGGCCGTATACGTGGTTATTGTCTGTCGTAAAGAAATGATTTCCCCTTGTCCCAGTGGTGTGTGCCGGCCGTATACGTGGTTATTGTGTCGTAAAGAAATGATTCCCCCTTGTCCCAGTGGTGTGTGCCGGCCGTATACGTGGTTATTGTCTGTCGTAAAGAAATGATTCCCCCCTTGTCCCAGTGGTGTGTGCCGGCTGTATGTGTTCCAGTAGGATAGAAAATGCCGTAAAACCAGAACTTGGGCCCGTGTTGTGTTGTGAACAATTTTGTGAACTCCTGTAACTGTAAGCATTTAATCAGTGGGCTTCCTGTGTGTGTGTAGATATGTGTGAGTGAGTGGGAATGGGTGGGTGTGTACGTGCATGCGTGTGTGTGTGTGTACACGCGCATGCTTGAGTCTACTACTGCTGCATCTCGTGTTCTCTTCAGTCGGAATATTAGAGGGTGGTCGGAGGGTGTACAAAGAATTCTCATACATGACAAGTAGTTTGCTTTTTTTGCTATGAGAAAAAAACATTGTTATTTCCATAATTACCTTGCCATATGTCCAAAGTCTGTTACTTTACGGCTGTTTATATATATATATGAAATCATATGCGTAGAGGAAAGCGTGTGTTATTGTACAATGCTGGGTCGTATGACTGTGTTGTAGACAGATGTTCTTCCTGTATACGATACGTTCCTGTAACGTGCTGTATATGATACGTTCCTGTATTCGCTGTAGGCCTAAACATTTCTGTATATATGGCATTTTGCTATATACGACACATTCCTGTACAAGGCACGTTCCTGTATACGTCATGTAAAGAATAAACTTCCGTAAGCTAACTAAACGCCTTTTAAAAAAATTTTGGCGCCACAATTCTTTATTTGCTAAATCAAAAGCCTGATCAGTTACCATACTTGTGTGAAAAAAATCAAAATGAAACTGAATAGTTTTTGAATAAATTTGAATTCAAATTTCGAAAGAATGCTATTTTAGAATGGTTACACTAACAAAACACCTCTTTTTTTAAAACTGCTGTGAATTTTAAAAAGACGTTTTGTCAGCTTACGACTGTAAAGAGGAGCCACGGACAAAGCAACCCATGATCTGATGAGACAAATGTCAGCTGTAGTTGAATGATGATAAAACACGTCTATTACTTCTGTGTTCTGGTGCGGTTCAACATGAAAAGACCAAAAGTGACTGTTGCAAAAGCCTGACCCTGTGTAATTATTTATGGGCAGTGTCAAGGGAGGCAACTGCTCGTATGTATATATAAGCAAGCTCTTAAGGAGGGCACCATTTTGCTTCCCTAGAAAATTTTACAGTTTTATCTGCTCAGTACCTAGTTTTGAGAAATTTGACGTTAAAAAATGTTTAGTTTCACATGTCAAGCTTTTTCGAATGCAATTCTTTGAATGTCTTGATAACAACTCCGAATTCATAGCATACGGTTTTGATAGAGCAGATAGAACATTTGTGCCACGACACAGTGGAATCAGGCGCTCGTCAAATTTTGGGCATATGGAGTTATTGGTATCATCATAAAGGTTGTCAATGTTTATTTGCCTTGCTTTCAATTAAAAACAATATCAATTTATCTTGAATTTTAGAAGTCGAGATATTTGCGATTGACGGAGGTGGGGTCGCATGGTTTCAGAGGTATAATTAGTGAGAAAGTGGCTGTCAAAATTAAAATTTGTTGTTCCTTTGATGGACATTTTTCCATAAAATCCACACATAAAAATTTTTTTTCTCGAGACGTACAAGCTGTTGTGCCAGAAAACAAAAATTTGACAAAAATTTCCAAACTGGCCGAAAAATGTCGATTTCTTGGATTTCGATATTTTGACGAGCGCCTGATTTCACCACGATGCCTCACATTTAATTTCTGATCTGACTTCGTGGTCTTAGTAACTCGAAACAGGCAAAAATGTCGGGTAGAATTTTGTAATTGTGAGGTAGTGGGTGACTTGTTCTGTCCCTTTCCACTGGCCCAGGGAGCATGAACAATGTGACACTATTGTGACACGCTCTGAACAGATGATCCTATCACTACAGTAGAGGGAAATGTTCACGTCAGTTACAACAGAAATGTGTATTTTAACGTCAGAGAGAGAGAGAGAGGGGGGGGGGGGAGGGAGAGAGTGAGAGAGAGAGAGAGTGAGAGAGAGAGACAGAGAGAGAGAGAGAGATTAAGAAAAGTTGAAAGACATAATATATTTGATCAGCATTATCCTCTGCCAGTAGGCTAAATTTTATATGGGAGAGTGTGTGTGAGTCTGGGAGTTGGATGTGTGTGTGTATGCTTGTGTGTGAGTCTGTGTGTGTATGCTTGTGTGTTGTTGATGTTGTTGTTGCTGTAAAATGGCCTCACAATGTGCATTTTCTGTCCTTTGATTGGTCCGTTCAGTTGAGAGATAATCCTGTCCTTTGATTGGTTAGTTCAGTAGTAGTAGTAGTATAGGGTTTTAGTAGAGATATAATTATGTCCTTTGATTGGTTGGTTCAGTAGGGTGATAATTCTGTCCTTTGATTGGTTGGTTCAGTAGAGTGATAATTCTGCCCTTTGATTGGTTGGTTCAGTTGAGAGATAATTCTGTCCTTTGATTGGTTGGTTCAGTTGAGAGATAATTCTGTCCTTTGATTGGTTGGTTCAGTTGAGAGATAATTCTGTCCTTTGATTGGTTGGTTCAGTAGAGTGATAATTCCGCCGTGTACAGTGCTTAGAGAGCTTTCTGGGGATTGGGTGCTTTGAAAGTTCCTATATTATTATTTATTTTTGTTATTATTATAATTTATTTATTTTTACTATTATTATTATTTATTTATCTTCATTGTTATTATTATTACTTTTTTTTATTATATTTATTGTTATTATTATTATTATTTATTGTTATTATTATTTTTATTATTTATTTATTGTTATTATTATTTATTTATTTTTACTAGAATCTAGATATATCATTATTATTTATTTAATTTTATTATTATTATTATTATTAATTTATTTTTACTATTATTATTTATTTATCTTCCTTTTTATTATTATTACTTTTTTATTGCTATTAGTATTAGTATTATTATTATTTTTATTGTTATTATAATTATTATTTATTTTTATTTATTATTTTTATTATTTATTTATTGTTATTACTATTTATTTATTTTTACTATTATTTATTTATTATTATTATTTATTTTTGTTATTATTAGGCCTATTTATTTATTTTTACTATTATTATTAATCTTCATTGTTATTATTATTACTTTTTTTTATTGTTATTATTATTATTATTTTTATTGTTATTATAATTATTATTATTTTTTTATTTTTTTTAAATTATTTATTTATTGTTATTACTATTTATTTATTTTTACTAGAATCTAGATCTATCATTATTATTTATTTATTATTATTAATATTTATTTTTGCTATTATTAGGCCTATTTATTTATTTTTACTATTATTATTATATTTACTTTTACTATTATTATTATTATTTATTTCTTCTTAT